TTCGTGCACCCCCCCGGGGCCTCTGTGTGCACTGGGCCGGGAAGGTCCTCTGGGCTTTCATGTGGCCTCCTGGGACCTCCGTGCACACTGGGCCCGGGGCGCCCTATGGGCTTTCGTTCAGCGTCCCGAGGTCTCTGTCCATACTTGTTCGGGGGGGCCCTACGGGGTTTCAAGCAGCCTCCTGGGTCCTCCGTGCGCACTGGGCCAGGGGACCCTGTGGGCTTTGGTGCTGCCTTGCTGGGCCTCTGTGCTCACTGAGCCGGGGCCCCTACAGGCTTTGGTGCAGCCTCCTAGGGCCTCCTTGCTTGGAGGGGGGGCCCCTACAGATTTTCGTGTGGTCCTCTGGGGCCTTTGTGTGCACTGGGCTGTGGGCTTTTGTGTGGCCTTCTGGGGCCTCCATACGCACTGGGCTGGGACCCCTCCCGTGTGCCCATGCTTCTTTAGTCCCTGCTGCATTAGGGCAGCAGAGAGAGATATTCCCACTGCACTGACACGGGACAAAGAGCCAGTGAGGCTCAAGGGCAGGGGTGGAAGAGAGTGCCAAGAGCGACAACCAGCACTTCCCCAATGTCTCAAAGTGGCCCCTGCCCACACAGAGACCCTACGGGATGCCTTTGACAGCCCTCTGACCAGGGTGCATCCTCCGGGAAGCCGGTTGCACCAGCTGCTTCTATAGCCTGAGCATGGCTCTGTAACACTTAGACGCCTCATAGAATCATAGAATGCTTAGGGTTGGAAGGGACCTCTAGAGATCATCTAGTCCAACCCCCCTGCATACGCAGGGTCACCTAGAGCACGTGGCACAGGACTGCATCCAAGCGGGTTTTGAAGATCTCCAGAGAAGGAGACTCCACAACCTCTCTGGGCAGCCTGTTCCAGTGCTCTGTCACCCCCACTGTTAAGAAATTTTTCCTTAAGTTCCTATGGAATTTTTGGTGTTTCAGTTTCCAGCCATTTCCTCTAGTCCTATCAGTGGCCACCACTGAAAAGAGACCATCCCCGTCCTCTGCACTCCCTCCCTTGAGGTACTTATAGACACTGATTAGATCCCCTCTCAGCCTTCTCTTCTCCAGGCTGAACAGGCCCAGCTCCCTCAGCCTCTCCTCACAGGGCAGATGTTCCAGGCCCCTGATCATCCCTGTAGCCCTGTGCTGGACTCTTTGAGCAGCTCCACATCCCTCTTGTACTGTGGAGCCCAGAACTGGACACAATACATTGGTGGCAATGAGCCACCACAGAGAGGATCTCAAACCAGATTCAGATTTACCTGTTTGCTTTCAGCATAAGCATTACAAATTCTTCAGGCTCTGGTAAAAACAGCATCTTGCATATTTTTTCATTATTTTTCTTTTTTATGAATTATTAAGTCTCCTTCTCTGCCCGAAAAAGGAGGGCAGAGTAAAAATGGGCATCTAACAGTTTGCTTATCCACCATGACACCCAGGTCTTTCTCCGCAGAGCTGCTCTCCAGAAGGTCAGTCCCCAGCCTGTACTGGTATCTCGGGTTATTCCTCCCCAGGTGCAGAACCTTGCACTTGGCCTTGTTGTGAGTGGGCTAGTGCTCTCTCCCCGGTTCTCACCTCCCCGAAGAAACTGTTTCTTCTTCTTGCCCTTGCCACACAGATCCGAGTGTTGACGACCGCACACCACCATGAGCAGCACTGTTCCCCAGACAGAGGGATGCCCCCTGACAAGTGAGTGCGCACTGGCATGCCAGCTGCAAGGCAGGGCCTGGCACCATGGTGGCTCACCACCCTGTGCAGGTGCTGGCACTCAGCTGCTGAGCACGGCAGACGACATGCCCTCATTTCAGCTGGTGGGGATGTGCAGGGGCAGAGGAGAGAAGAAGCCCCAAGGGGCCCTGGGGGAGTAGCAGCAGCAACAGGAGGACTTTGTTGATACTTTGCAGGTATCTCTTGCCCCAAGTAAAGCATATGTTGCAGCTTGCGGCATCTTACAAAGTCCTCTGGAAACACTGGAAGGAAACACTGGTATAAAACTGCCAGAGACTGCAGCTGGAGGGGGAGGCTCGCTGGTAAGTAGCTCCCAAGGTAAGCAAGGTCCCTGCCCCTGCTAAG